CAGGTAGGGACGTTCGTAAGTCGAGGTTCCACTGTACATCATATGCTCAACTGACCCAAAGCTATAGAACTTTGTACTTCCTGTTTCCCAAGTACCTAGAAATCAGGGCTGTCATTCAAGATAGATGGCTGTGGCTAGAGATTATATTTAATTGCAAAAAAACAACAACAACCCAGTTAATTTGTAGTACGCCAAAGGAATTACTTTTAAAAATGCATTGTATTGTCAAGGATGTTAATAATCTTCACTCTTTCACAGTTAAATAGAGAGATTTAGATAAAAAAGATATTTTAGCATTGTTGGAAACATGTTTGTACTGAGACAACAGAAAGTACCTCAGATAGTAATCAATGACAGAACTCCTACAGGATTTTCTAACAATGGCATTACATTCTGATCAAGATATGAAAAATGATTCCAGTTGTCTCTAAACTCTTTTGGTATAAAAAAGATGGAAGTGCATGTAATTCATGTTATTGTCCTTTATCTAACAGAACAATACTGCCATCAAGAAAGTTACAGGCTGGATTTACAACTGAATCAACTCTAGGCAGTATTTGGAATCAGATACACAAATTTGTACAACACTGGCATCATATATGCTGATTGCTGCACATGTGCTATCAAAGTGTCAAAGTGTGGTGACTTGACACAAATCCCTATATTCAATCAATGGTATGAATGAAGTATTACATTTTTCCAAACTGCTATGGAAGTTGGGGGAGAAGCAGAAGAAGGCATTGTCTTCCTGCAAGTAAGTCACATATCTAGAAAAAGTAACCGCAAGATAAAGGTAAAGGTAAGGTTCCCCTTGACAATTTGTCCAGTCATGTCTGACTCTTCGGGGTGGTGCTCATCTCCGTTTCCAACCCATAGAGCTAGCGTTTGTCCAAAGACAATCTTCCGTTGTCACGTGGCCGGTGTGACTGGACACAGAACGCCGTTACCTTCCCACCATGGTGGTACCTATTTATCTACTCACATTTTGCATTTTGCATGTTTTCGAACCTTTAGGTTGGAGGGAGCTAGGACAAGCGACAGAGGCTTACTCTGTCACATGGATTTGATCTTACGACTGCAGGTCTTCTGACCTTGCAGCACAGAGGCTTCTGTGGTTTATCCCACAGCGCCACCACGGAAGATATCTGCGGTTTAACCCACAGCGCCACCATGGAAGATGAGCACTCTCTAATTACACACAATTCATGCAAGTTGGTAGCCTATCAGGGAGAGAGACACTGTCTCTTCACGAGTTGCTTGTATCAGTGTAAAATGTATATAAAAATTCATGCACATGCACAATTGCTTATTCTGGAAGTTTCCACTAAGGTCTCCATAAATGAGTATAAGTGCCTTTGTTTGGAGAGACCTTCCCTCCATGCTGCCATAATGCAGTGGGATTTTCCATGCCTTTGAAAGCATTTTTTCAAACTGAGATTCACTCTGTGTCTGTTGTTTGACCCTCAGCCAGTGAACTCTCCTAGCCCAAAGGGCCACTTCCCTGACATAGTCGATCAAATGGTATTCTATTCTTTAAAGAAAGCTGGGATCTTCCTATTACATACTATACAAGACAAGAGACCCACTGGCTTGGTCTTCTTTGCTATTTTGAGTATGTGTCGATTCCAACTTGGAAATTATTGGCTGCATTACGGAACAAGTACCCCTGCATACCACAATCTTTTCCTTAAGGGAATCATAAGGAATGGTTTCCTCAAAATTTATTGTGGAAGCCATGTTTTTTACTTTCTCACGACGCCCTTAAGAAGAAGCTGATAATGGTGTACAGGGCTACCTATTCTGTAGTCCAGCCAATAAGTTTCAAGTTGTGATCAACTCATATTCAAAACAACAAAAGGGAACAAGCCAACAATGGATCTTCTGGAACATTCCGGCGTTCTGTGGCAGACATGCAGGAGATCACAGGCACTGTTCCTTCAAAGCAGATAAGGAAAAAACACAGATCTAGAAGGACAGATGTTAAGTTATATATGGGATAGGAAAACATTGCCTTCGACACTTTCTTCCCTATGACACCATTCTTCAGTCGCTTCCTTGCTTTTCTGCTATGCCGATTTTAAAAGGTCAAAATGCCTCTGCTGAGACTTAGTCACTGGCACCAAAAGCTTTAAGCTAACATATGCTAGTATCTGGGATCCCACCCTTTGCTCCATCCCCCCCTGGAATGCATCCCCTGAGAACTTCTCTGGATTTAGAGTCAGCTCTTGGCCTAAAAGAACTTCCTTATTCCTTAACACATGGGATACAGAACAGATTCACTTGATGATGATGATGATGATGATGATGATGATGATGATGATGATGATGATGATTATTATTATTATT